GTTACTACATAAAGCTACCAGAAAGAAGGTTGCCTGGATTGAGAAGTATGTACTGATCTGCTTTACCATGGACTATATGAGTTTAACTTCAAAGCATTTCCTTCAACTGGAAACAAATTTTTGGGCTGCTACATAGCGTTGCAGCAATCAGCTGGTATTCTGGTGTTCTTGGTCAACTGGCCCTTGCATGGGAGAAGTTGTAGCAAGAATGCTGTCTTACACTGCAGGTGTGTTCTTCATCCTGCTCTCTGACATTCTGAAGGCATGTGAAGTAGACCATATGTCTTTTTTCAGTCAAGAATAAAAGTCTGTAGCATAGATGCCTAGATGTAAGGCCCCAATAGCTTTATTGAAACACTCTTGCAGCCAGAAAGTTCAAAAACAGAGATTTTCATTAGTTTCAGTTGCAAACAGAAGTGAGGCTTACTTCTAAAATACCCTGAAATTACATTGGTCTGATGTTTATTTTGCGTCTTGACCTTTCTTCTTAGCATGTACGCAAGAAGAGCTCTAGACTTCAGCTTTCATGATTCTTTCAGTGAGATGTAAAGGAAGATGAAGATTTCTTCTAAAATAAGTGTTGATAATGACAAGAATAAAAATTTCTTAGAAACCCTCCAAGTGGATTTTCTCATTTCCAGGAATTTGGATTTCTGTTGCAACAATACTTGTATTTCTGGAATATATGCCATTCATCTTTTTAATCTTGCACCTTGATAGTCGCTTTTGTAGTTGCCAGTTTGAGTTCAACACTGTCGTAGTGGACAGAATGAAAATTTAAAATGGGTATAGAACTTCTTAGAATTTCTTCTAAGAAATGCATGCTGGAAGGATGAGGGGCAACAGGCACAACTTGAAAACTTGATTTAGATAGAAAGAAAAGTGTTGTGTTTCCTTTCCTGTGAGGGCAGTGAAATCCTCCAGAGAGATTTTGGAATGCTTATCCTTGGAGATGCTCAGATTTGAGTGGACAAGATCCTGAACAACCAGCTCTAGACCTGCTTTTGAGCAGGAGGTTGCACTTGACCTCTGGAGGTCCCCTCCAGTCTACATGATTCTGTGATTTTATACTGCTGAAACAAAGTATGAAGCAGTGATGTTTAAATAAAGCATCAGGAAGGTTTGGGGTTAGTTTTTTTTTTTTTACTTGGTCAGTAATGAAGAATTTTGTGTTCTTTGTTCTGTTTTTCTCTCTGCCGGTGAAGCTTTTTCTTTTGACCGTGAAATACCAACAATCGTGACACAGCTTTACATTTTTCTTAATTACTTTTCTGAACATCCACTTTTCCTCGAGGATGGTTAAAATACTCAAAAAGAAAAATGTTCTGTAGTAAGAAGGTGAGAACAGCTGTGATGATTCAGATTGGGGATAGAGACTCCTGCAATGAATGTAAGTGTGTGTGCAAGGAAGAGTAAGAATAGGACAGGTACTCAGGATTTTTTTCCCTGAGGATTCTCTTAGCTTCTGACTCTGTATAGAGGTCAGGGGATCTCTTGACCTTTGTGCAGTGTTCCCGTATGCTATTTTTAATGAATCTCATTAATAAGTGCTTGTACAGTCTCCTTGTGAACAAAATATAAGCAGTTCTTCCATCCATGACACTCTTGGGTAAGAAGTTCTGCTGACCTCCTGTTAGACGAAGAACTGTCTCCTGTTGTTTGTTTTGAAACCTATTCTGTTGATATTCATGTGATTTCCTGTAACTTTTAATATTAGAAAAGACAATGAACAGCTGATCTACAGTGCCCTGCATTATACCATTTTTGGTTCTGTCATTATCCTCTTAAGTTACCTTGTTCCCAGGCCAAAAATCCTTACCTCATAAGAATGCTCTCCAACCCTATGTATTACTATGTAGTTCTCCTTCGTTTAGTGAATCTTCTGTTTGTGTATTCCAGCTAGACGGGTACTCCTAGGGAAAGGATTCTCAAATGTTTCTTTTTCTACAGTATGAAATTAATACTGCATATTCTTAGAGACGAAAGCTAGCATGTTGTGATGAATGTGAGAGTAGAAATGTAAGTTACCCAAGAACCTTGGGAAGTGGAAATTTGACCCTTAAGAACAAGAGAAAATTCTTGCTTTGCATTATGGCTATCTGAAAACATGGGATAGTACAGTACGAGGTTCTTGGTTGATGTCAATGGAGAAAGCCTTTGACTTAGACTACTGAAAAAAATAATGTTTGAGACACTTTTATAATGCTGATTGATGAATACTTTCAGGTGTGCTTTGATCTTTTTTGGTAATAGTGTACTGCTTGGTTTTTGAATGGTTTTAACATTCAGACTGAAAAGTTTGGGGAGTGCTGGCAAGTGTAGTAAAAATGCAGGAAAAAAGTTCAACTTGAAGGAGATGATGATTATGAGGTTTTGGGAGCAATAAATTTGAAGAGGTTTTGGGCCTTTTAATTTTTTGTCTTTACCAGTGTCCTATTGCCTTCACTTGTGTAACAACATGTTTAGACTTCTAATAATGCAGAAATGCTCAAACACTGTTCTTAGTGGCTGTGACAAGAATAAACTGAGAGCTTTGCTGTGACGCTTGTGTTTCTACCCACAGGATCTTCTGCATCCTTGATGTGTTTTTTGGAAATTCATGTTCTTTGTAGCCTTGATAATTTAGATCTAGGTTTTCTAGATCATTACTAGATATTAAGAAAGATTCTTCTTGTTGCTTTTAAGTCTGACAGCTCTAGGGGGAAATCTGTAAGCAACTCCAGTATTATAAAGATGTTTGAAATTCAGAAATTATGGATGTGCTGCTGCACTGTACTTTGTGTGCATGATCCTTTCTTAATAACAGTTAAATAATGAGATATTTGAGATGCTGACTAGCAAAAGCTATTTCTACTTTCAAGAGGTTTTTGTTGAAACATGTAGTCTCTTGACACAGTGAATCTTTTCCTATTATGCTCTGATCAGCTTACTATAAATTCTTTTATTATAACCTGTATTTTCATCTTGCTGTCTTTTGAAGTCATCATGGCCTCGGTTTTTTGATTTTTCTTTTGGACCTATAACTTGTGAAACCTTCACTTACCTGTGCATTCTTTTCTGATTATACTCCTGAACACTTTTTTTATTAAGCTCTTTGTCAGTATATTTGCATCAGTGCTTCCAGATGTACATTTTGGTTTATTCTAGAGGTACCAAGGCTATTTTTGCATGCAGATTTTCTGATGGTTATTGTCCATTAAGCTTGTTCTGAGAAGTCAAGTCCTTTGTAAATTGTGATCTCCTGTATTTTCAGTGGTAATACAACTCCTAAGTATTCCTGATGCTCTGCTTTTGTGTATTAAACTGTTAGAGGAGATGAATGTATATTGGCAGAATAGCTCCAACTCCTAGAATATAGTGTAATTGCTGCATTTTGGTCTTGGTACTTAGTGTGAATTTTGTCCACATTGTGGCTGATTAGGAGGATTATTAGGTGCTGGGTAACATTTTTAAAGGCAAACAGAAAAAAATGGAGTAAGATGAGAAGAAAGGATCCTGGAATTGTATACAATACCCTCCTCTAGGTAGGAGCTTGATATCTTGACGCATACTCTTTTTTGGGGGAAATCCACAGCAAAGTTTTCATCAAAGGAGCATCTGGAAATTGTGAAGTTGTGGTTATTTCAAAATTTTGCTGGTCTCCGCAAGGTGGTAGAACCAATTTGTGGCAGAGGCATGTGCATTTGTACATTTTCATGTACATGTTTTTAATACAAGGAAGATGATACATGTTATAAAACTGTAAGTTTCTTCTCTGGCTGTCTGTAAGAGTGGATTTAGCTAGTTCTCAAATGTAGGTAGGTAAAGATAGGAAGAGCAAAGAGATCCACTGAAGCTTCTGTTACTCCGAACAAGGTGAAGCACCTACGAAACATGCTTTGCCTTTCCTTCTCCCTTCAGCCCTTGAGGAGTGGGAAAGAGGGAGAGGTAGTGCCAAAATAATTCCTCAGGTGCCTAAATGTCAATAGGGTATTTTCCAGTACTCAATAAGGGGAGTCTGATAGGAGAGTCATCACTGTTCAATGAAGGAGGAATTCTCTGTGATCACTGTCAAAACCATGGTACTATTTCTTTGGGCAGGGAAGGTGTCTAGACATTTTCTTTTCCGAAACTTGCTTTGTGCTGCTTGAGATATTTGCCTAACACTGAAGTATGTACTACATGTAGTGGATCGTAACTGTTGATTTTTGGCTGCTGTGTCATTGGTATTTCTGCTTTGTGTGACTTTTCTGTGCTTTTTATAGAACATTCATTCTCTTCTGTGGAAAACTGTTGATTGACCCGCTGCTGTGTTGAAAGGTGTCAAAATTGAGTCTGTTATCAGGTTCATGGAGTCAGGGTTCCTCATTGGATCCAATGAGGGGCATAGGAGCTCTGCAGTGTGTTCCTCATGCCTGGAGGACTGGAACTAGGAGAATTGAGAAGTTAAACGTTCTCACAACCTAATGTAGCTGTTACCATGAAACTGCTATGCCTAACTTATACAACATTAAGGATGTTACCATTTGGAGAGTACAGTTTATTTTCAAAGTTTAGCACCATTATTTATCCTTCATCTTTGATGTGCCAGACTCCTGTTTCTTTTCTTAGAAGCATTGTCCCATCAACAAGGAGAGATGAACAGTTGTTTCAAACTCTCCAGCTCAACACAGCTTGCTGTATACTCTTACCACAGTTCACAGTTTGCAGATGGTGGGATTTGGAATGTTTGGGTTTTTTATTTGGTTGGTTGGGTTTTTTTGAGGTGTGTGTGTTTGGTTTTTGTCTTTCCCAGAAGTTTAGTTTTAGCCAGCTTCCCCCCTGCAGCAGGAGACCCAACCCATAGTGCTGAATGCTCTTGAGAGGATAATCATGAGAGTTAGTTAATATAGGAAGGTCCTAATGGGGGAGCAAATGGCAGAAGTAAATGTTTTCTTCTGTGTCTGTTATACCATAATTTAAAACCAAAAGCCAAACATAGTATTAACTAATGCATTGTTTTGCTTTGTTTTATGTTTTAGAAATATGGCAAATTAACATCTTGTACTGGCTGCAGAGCTCAGTGCAGGTTTTTTGACATGACTCAGTGCATAGGACCTAATGGATATATGGAGCCATACTGCTCAACTGCATGCATGAACACACACAAATCAAAATATGCAAAATCACAAAGTAAGTGAAAAGGATGATGAATTTTCATCACTGATACGAGCAGACTTCTTTTTTTGAAGTTTGAACATGGGGGTGGGTTGTTTTGGTTTAGAATTAATCTATGCAGATGTGACTTTATAGGTTTTAAAACTTTAAAAAAATCATCTTATATTTAACACTAGTAAATGGACCCATAAAGGGGTCATTTTCCCCACTGGTCTTTTTTGGTTGATGTCAGAAACAGTTCCCAACTGTCTTAAGGCTTCCTGGGGAAAAATGTTGAGACATAATGTGCTCTGATGTGTCACAGAATGATAGTGCAATTTTAATGCATATCAATTAAAACTCTCTTGCCTGTGATCCAACCCAACCCATTTTATCTACTCAAGCAACAGTTGGAGACAGATAGAAGTAGTTATAATGTATATGGATATTCTCTAGGTAAAATTTTTAATCTGGGTGAAAGGACCTGGTAAATAACTCAAAATGTGCATTCTTCAATATGCAAAGCAGGCATAGATCTCAACTCAGCGAACCCAGACTTGAAAATGGTCCAGTGAATTTTATAGAAGAAGGTGCAATTTCATATTTAATGCTGATCTTTAATGGAAGAATTCAGCAAAACGCCTGCAATTTCTTTTGTTTTATGTGACTTTTAGAAGCTGACTGGGAAACAGACTAATCTTAGCTTTTTACATTGAAATGGTGGGAAGAGCTAACCTGTAGTCCAGTGTATTTTTTTTTTTTGCGCTACTATTTTGTGTTTATTTTGTTTGTAAACTACGTTTTTCTTTTAGGTGTGGGAATTATTTGCCACTTTTGTAAGCGAAACTCTTTACCTCAGTATCAAGCCACAATGCCTGATGGAAAACTGTACAACTTTTGCAGTTCCAGTTGTGTAGCTAAATTTCAGGTTAGCTGTTGTGTTAAATCTTTTCCTCCCTAAATATTTGTGTACCTGTGTTTGTGTCAAGTATTTGCATATTAAGCTAACTTGCTTGTATGTACATGTTCATGAGTTATAATTAACATAGCAGATGCTTCTGGCTCATAACAATTTCTTTGATCAAAGTACTGTCTTTCATACTGATAACACAAGCTGCTTTCTTAAACTTATAAAATGTAATAATAACAATTCATTTCTCCTTGGCACCGTAAGAAAATGCAAAGCATTAGCACAGCTCATCTCGTTTTTACCACCCCAGTTTCTTTATGGAGATGAACCTTGCTGTTTTGCATTGAAGATCAATGTTTCATCTCTTTTATAGTAAATACAGTGACAAAATTGTCATGTTGAACATTTTGCTAACAAAGATGTGTCATGGGGAATAGTGACTGTCTCTGAAATGAAAGGTTAGAGCCTGAGCCATTAGAACATTTATGGACAAAAGTAGACATTGAAATTAGGTCTAGGAACCAGAGTGTTGCAAGCCACATTATAGGCAAACTGGAAGAGGCTGCTATGGTTGTTGAAAATGTCCTATTTTTAATATGACTTAAGGTTAAACCATGTGCAAAATATGTTGTAGTGATTAATTTCTAGGTGATCAAAGAACATATTTAAAGAAAATGTTTCAATTTTTGTATGTAAAAACAGTTTTCCCAGATGTGCACTGTATAATTCGTAATTGTCTCCTCATGTGTTGTGGAACAGTTACACCCATACAGTGTTTTCCCATTTGTCATTAAGCTTCGCTGTTTTCTGTCAACTGAAAAGCAAATCAACCTCTTAATTGCTTCCTTAACATACCTTGGATAGGACCTCCATCATGTAGCCCTGTTCTGTGCTTCCATGCTAACCAATTCAGTAGACTGTCAAGTGGAACTGATTAACAAAATAGATACAGATTGTTAGTATGTAATGTCAAATCTGTAATACTTCTTGCAAACTCATTTGGCATCTATTTCATTCTACATGGTCTTGCAAATTGATTGCAGCACCAAGAACTCTCAGAACAAAACCTTTCTGCTATTTGAGTGAGGAAAATAAAGCTAGTGAATGACAAATACAGCTTGGGCCTTCTCGGATTTGCAGATAAGTCAAAGTTAAGCAACATTATTGAATAAAACTGCCAGATCAGTTGATGCTGGTTGTGAGTTTCTGATCTTAGTGAGACCTTGCTGATGCTTCTGTTGCAGTTTCAGTGCCCCATGTAAATCTGTCTCTTCCATGTTGTAGTGGAGTTTAACTGGAGCAGCCATACAGCCTGAGTTCTCAGTAAAGACCAAGAATGAGTAGGTAGTCACTTGCTTACAGTTAGTTTGCTTAAACATCTCTGTCCAATTGTAACTTTTGGTAGTTTTCATATGCTCATTGTCCAGAGAATAAATGTATTCACTATGAGATAAAAGTTGATTGTATGAGAACAGCTTCTTTGCTCCATTCATTTAGTATTTAGATGGGAAGGATGGTACACCACAAAGTGAGCATTGGACTGTAAGTTTTCCCTTGAGGCTCTTTTATACCTAAGTGACACATAAGTACTCAGCCACTTCTTTGCCTCAGTCTTCACTGGCAGCCTGTCTTCCCACACCTCTCGAGCAACTAGACCGTCAGACAGGGACTGGAGGAGCAAAGTCCCTCCCACTGTAAGAGAAGATCAGGTTTAAGACCACCTGAGGAACCTGAACACAAGTCATTGGGACCTGACAAGATGCATCCCAGAGTCTAGAGGGAATTGGCTGATGCACTTGCCAAGCCACTCTCCCTGATATTTGAGAAGTCCTGGCAGTAAGATGAAGGCCCTGGAGACTGGAAAAAAGGAAACATTGTACCCATTTTTTAAAAGGGTAGCAAGGAGGACCCTGGGAACTACTGATCTGTCAGTCTCACCTCTGTGCCTGGGATGATCATGGAGCAGATCCTCCTAGAAGCTATGCTAAGGCACATGGGGCAGAGAGGTGACTGGAGACAGCCAGCAATGGCTTCACCAAGGGAAAGTCCTGCCTGACCAACCTAGTGGCCTTCTAGGATGGAGTGACCACATCAGTGGACAAAGGAAGAGCTACAGATGTCATCTGTCTGGGCTTCTGTAAGGCCTTTGATAAGGTTCCCCACAACATCCTTCTCTCTAAATTGGAGAGATATGGATTTGATGGGTGGACTGTTGCGTGGATGAGGAACTGGTTGGATGGTCACATCCAGAGGGTAGTTGTCAACGGCTTAATGTCCACATGGAGACCGGTGACAAGTGGTGTCCCTCAGGGGTCTGTAGTGGGACCAGTACTCTTTAGTATCTTCATCAGTGACATAGACAGTGGGATCCAGGGCACCCTCAGCAAGTTTGCAGACGACACCAAGCTGAGTGGTGTGGTTGACACGCCTGAGGGAGGGGATGCCACCAAGAGGGACCTGGACAAGGTCAAGGAATGGTCGTGTGTGAACCTCCTGAGGTTCAACAAGGCCAAGGGCAGGGTCCTGCACCTGGGTCGGGGCAACCCATGGTATCCATACAGGCTGGGGCATGAAGAATTTGAGAGCAGCCCTGCCGAGAAGGAGTTGGAGGTACTGGTGGATGAAAAGCTGGACATGAGCCTGGAACGTGCGCTCGCAGCCCAGAAGATGAACCGTCTCCTGGGCTGCATCCAAAGCAGCGTGGCCAGCAGGTCAAGGGAGGCAATTCTGCCCCTCTACTCCACTCTGGTGAGACCCCATCTGGAGTCCTGCATCCACCTCTGGAGCCCTCAGCACAGGAAAGACATGGAGCTGTTGGACCATGTCCAGAGGAGGGCCACAAAAATGATCAGAGGGATGGAACACCTCTCCTATGAGGACAGTCTGAGAGAGTTGGGATTGTTCAGCCTGGAGAAGAGAAGGCTCCGCAGAGACCTTATTGCAGCCTTCCAGTACTTGAAGGGGGCTTAGAAGAAAGATGGGGCCAGACTTTTTCGCAGGGCCTGTAGCGAGAGGCCAAGGAGCAATGATTTTAAACGAAAAGAGGGTAGATTTAGACTAGACATAAGGAAGAAATTTTTCCAATGAGGGTGGTGAAACACTGGCACAGGTTGCCCAGAGAGGTGGTAGATGCCCCATCCTTGGAAACACTCAAGATCAGGTTGGATGGGGCTCTGAGCACCCTGATGTAGCTGAAGATGTCCCTGCTTATTGCAGGAGGTTGGACTAGATGACCTTTAAAGGTCCTTTCCAACTGAAACTATTCTGTGATAATGAACTGAGCCTAAATTGGGAAAATCGTTAAATCCATTCGGTCAATTGCAATACTTTCTGCAATGGTATTTTGAAAAAATGGCTGATTTACTATGGTGCACCATAGTTTTCCCTGTTTACTAATGCAGATAACTCCTGTTTTAATTTTCTGGCATTATATTAATCCCTTTTTTTCTTTACTCTGCCTGTTTTTTCTGTACGTTTTTCTTTGTTAACAGTTATTCTTCTCTGAACAGAATAAGTGCCTTTTCAGTTCCGTGTCTCCCTTCTGCAAAAACTTCAGTCCTTTTGGTTTACAAATGGGTTGGAATATTTTTAAAAAAAATTCCCATTTTGGTTACAGTACTTAAGATTGCTGTCAACCCTATGAATAATATCTTGTTTCTATCTGTTTTTTTAATGTTATCACAGTATTTGAAAGATTCAGTTGAGCTGCTTGTTGTGCTGCTTCTGTCCATATCTATATTCTCCGTTGTGTGGACAGCTTGGAAGAGCATTCATCCTTGTAAGAAAGAGGGAGCACAGCATGCTTGATGTGATTTTTTTTTTTCTTTTTTTTTCTTTTTTGGTAGGTAGTTGTAAAATAGTGTGACTGTATCATGTCATCTTTCATGCTCTGTCTTAGAAGATGTTACTGCAGAGTTAAGGACAGAACTGTTCCAAAGTTGTATTGTCTTAAGCCTGTTTTGCTGTTGATATCTTTACTGGGTCATTTAAAGATCTTGCTCTGAATTTGTCTCTTAAGGAAAAATAAAGTGTTAATTTATTTGTTGTGAACATGGAGGCTGTAGTACGAGTGTCTTCCCGAAGCTAGCAACTGTGTAAGTGTCTTGAAGTACAAGCTATCTTGCAAAACATGAGTCTATGCAAAATTTTCAGAAAATTTGTGCTAAAGCTTTGATTGTTTTCAATTTATGGATGTATCTGGAGAGCTGTAGGACCAGTATGTTTAAGAATTAAGTACAATGTCTTTTAGCAGGTTACTTGCTCTGATTATTCACTAATCTTGTGTTCTCTTTGACCATCATTACAGTGTCTGTAAGTGTTTTTTGTTACATACATTACATCTCTTTCTCGTGCACACACACGTACATATATTTTAAAAAAGAAGTATGATGCAGTGGAAAGCATGGAGGAAGCTTGCATGCTTGTCACAGAAATACTTTTCCAAATTTGATCTAATAAAAATAATTGAGACTTCCATGCAGAGCCCTGGAAGGTCTGTGTGTGCTTGAGCATAAGGGGAATGTTTGGTTCTTTCTATCTTTAATTTAGTGCCCTTGATCTTGCTTGTGAAACAGTCCTATGTATTTGCTTCTCTTTTCCACGTTAAGAACAAGTTAATTCTTTCAAAGTTATTTTTGTTTCTCAACTACGAAAAAACTGACCACAGTCTGGCTCCCTAGTAGCCCTTCTACAGATACGTTTATATACAGAAATGTTTCCACAATCTGATTTTGTGTTGCTGTGAGCAAGGATAACCCATCTACCGCTTATGCTGCAGGGGCAGGTCAGAAGCTGTGCTACTACGCTGGTGCTCTCAGAAGAGTCCTTTGCTGTGTCGCCTACTGTTCATTAGTAATTTGGCAGCTTAGAGAAGTTTGAGGTGGTTGCATTGAAAACTGAAAAGGGCTTTACAATGATTTTTCGCTTTGCTTGGAACTTTGCGTGCTCTTGTTGTTCAGGGCAGGCTCAAGAAAAGTCAGATTAAACATAACCTTTTTTTATTTAAAAAGCATGCATATATATATATGATTTTAAAGATATCTTTGATAAAGCACACCACTGATAAAACCTTGCTGTTTGAGGTGAGCTGTGAAAGATTTTAATGAATTTATTATCTTTTTGCTGCATTATTCTTTGTGTGTAAAAATGCTCCCAAATAATTCCTAAAGATATTCTCTATTCTAAGCATCTTGTAAGTTTTAGAGGCAAAGCAAGATGATGATAATACTTACGTGCATGTCATCTTGACTCATTAAAACACTATGCAGAAGCAGTCCTTAATTGTCATCAGGATAATGGAAACTTTAAGGAGCCATACAAAGTCATGTTGTGATTAACTCTTGGTTTTAAAACCATCTTCTGCTTGGTTTAGAGCTTTCAGTAGTATGAATTCAGTTCTTTACTGATTTCTGTGGGAGAATACTTAGTTGACTTTAGGAGTTTATGATAAAAAAACATTGGTTTTGTTTTAGAAGCAGTAATGGTTAATTATTGAGGGTTTTCTTGTCTACAGTTAGTTGTAGATATTCTTTAAAACAAGTTTCAATTTTAAACAGTCTCAAACTCCTTTCTTCTCACACCTCTAGTTTTCATTACTGTTCAATTACCAGGCCCCTAGACTATGTAGGGCCTGAACTTCTATCACAGCAAACAGTTGGGAGAAGAAATAAAAGAAGCTAACAGTGCCATGCATCAGAAAACAACAAAAAACCCATGTTTTACTTCTAACTTGTGGCCCTCACAGCAGAGTGTCTTGATCCCATATTTAAAAGTAATTACAGGCATAAAATACAGTTTTTAATTTTTTTTCAGTTGATGATCACTTAATATATTTCTTCATTCCTCCCTCTGTCTTCAGTGTTTCTGTACAGGTTGTCACATCTGCTTCTTTAACATTTCCTTCATTGCTGAACTGGAGGTGGTGGGTATACTTGCTGCTTGATTTCTTTTTGTTTTCAGCCAGAACTTCTAGGACTTTCATTGTCTTTACATAACCCATATGGCAGCACAAGTTGAGCATGGTGTTTGCTTTGTGAGGAAACATGCAGATGCAGAAATGCATAGACTGGACCTTGAACTTAAAATGCCTTTGTGGCTCCCGTGTAGTACAAGTCTTCAGCTACCTATTTAGAGCAGCCAAAGTCTAGCAAACCTCTCATCCACAGGGACATTTGCTGGATATAGTGGGAGCGATAAGACAATACTGTATGTGAGCATCAGACTGTTAAAGTTGTGACCGGACAATGGACCATTGGAATAAAGGTGGCATCTTTTCTGCAGTATGTGGCATTTTATTGTCAGGTCCTGTCCGTAACTGTGAAACGTTCATGACTGCTTCATGTCTGCAAACTCCTGATAGAGAACTAGTGCATCTGCATAAAATGATACTCATCGCAATTATTTTTTTATGTGGTGGGTTTTTTTTTGTGTAGGTGAACCCTTAATAACATGACAGTCCAAAGCAAAGTATCCTGTAACGGAAATGTTTTACATTTTCACTGTTATGAGGTAGAGAAGTAGTAGCAAATCTGTCTGAAGAGAACTTGTAATTTTTAAATATATTTATCTTTTTGCAAACTGTGGGAAAATTTGTTGAGAAGAAGGACATAAGGAATTTGTCCTCTGGAGTCTTCAAGTGACTGTGATCACTACTGATTCAGATTTTGTCTTGAACATTGCATGTGTAATACACCGATAGTTGTTGCTTGATCTAGGGAACATGCAAAAGACTATGTTCTGTAGGCATATAAGACCTACTGGAAGACTACAGATGCTGTAAAATTGAGTTCTCTTATCTACTGATTGCCTCAGAAATGCATTAAGTGAATTATGCAGTTACAGAATTAAATTCTCATACCTACGCATGCAATCTGTAGTATTTTTCTCAATCTGAAAACCCTTAATTGTTTAGGGGCTAAGTGGTTTAAATGATTGCATCTCCTTGCCATGGTGATGGAGGACAGCTAGGACTATTAGCTAGTTTTCTCTTAATCTGAGTAGATGCAGGGTTTCTTACTGAAGGCCTTTTACTTTAGTATTTGTACTTTCAAGTGGTAAGCTTCAGTAAGGTATTGATAATCTGCCTTGGTGAGGTTTGGGTTTGAAAGTCTTTGTAAATATTTGTCTGAACTTCTGTGACCAAAATAAGGCAAGCTGTGAAATGTATGTATCTGAAAATACATGTTTTGTGATTAACAGGTGTTTGGTTGACTGTTTTTTTTTTGTTTGGGGTTTGTTGTTTTTGGGTTTTTTTTGGTTTTTTGTGTTTTTTTTTTTTTTTTCATTTATACATTACCCTTAAATAACAGGCATTAGAAAGGTAAGGCAAAAGAAATATAACCTAAAGCAATTACGGTGGAAGCAAGGGTAAAGATTCGAGATTATGAAACCTAAGATGACAAGAGAAAAGACCAACCAGCTGTGCTTTTGCCAGAAATGCTCCTATTTATAAACTCCAAATTCTCAGACTTAATAGAAAATAGACTTAATTGAAAAACACATTTTAAAAGTAACTTTCTTTTTTTATTGATGTGTATGTATATTTATGTTTTTCAGACACTCAGTGTCCAATCTTCAACAAATGGTCAGTTTGTCTCTCCCAGTGATATTCAGCTGAAATGCAATTATTGCAAAAGTTCTTTTTGTTCAAAGCCAGAAGTACTGGAATGGGAGGTAAGGAGGTTTTTGGTGTTTTTAGAATTATGAAGTGTTTAAAAGTCTAAACCTGTAACTCCGATACAGTTTTTCTAGATAGCTATTTTATAAGATATTGACGCTTAAAAAAATAGGTTAATAAAATATACCTCGTTCTGTAGAATATCATTGAACTTTATTATGGATGAAAGCAGAAGTCTTTGTTTATAAGTAACAAATAAAAAGTATCTGTGGAATTTAAAGAAAAATGTAATTTCTCGCATCTGCTGTAAGTTTGAAATACACTTTAATCTTCAGTTACTGTATTACTGTAGATAGGATAGACCATTGTTACACTTCTCTGTGAACTGAGAGGAGTATGTGAAGAGGATATGCTAAGATTAATTGGTGTATTTTCTGTTCAGCATTTTCATATGAAATTATGAGTATTTGTAGCACTCGCTGTCAGCTTGAGCGAAAGTTGTTGATATTTAGCATTAGAAGTCATACCCTAATTGTGTATTTGCACTTCTGTTGCATGTTAAAGTTGTGTTTTAATGTCAAACTATTATTTAAAGTTGCACTGTCCAGATCTTGAGATTTTATCCATTAGCTCTATTAGTGATGCTTTGCAACTTTGCATTTAGAACAAAGTGTATCAGTTCTGCAGCAGAGCATGTTCTGATGATTATAAGAAACTGCACTGCATAGTTACATACTGTGAATACTGTCAAGAGGAGAAAACGCTACATGAGACAGTGAATTTCTCTGGCATCAAAAGACCATTTTGTAGTGAAGGTATGTATGTATGGTTTCTTCCTAAGGTATTGGTCATTGTAGTTTTACTGTAGTTGACTTACTGTCTTAATAGTTAATGTTAAAATTTAAGGTAACAACTCATTCTGTTGTACTTGAGGCTGAAACAGAAGTTTCTTCATTGTTCTTAATGAAGTGCAGATACCTGTTATTACTAGTGCATGTACCTGTTAATTTATGTGAGCTGCTTTTATGGTCTTTTGTTGAGTTTTTTACCACTTAGTCCAGGTTAAGGAAGAGGGGGCAACATTCTTAAGTGTGTGTGTATAAATACATACACATACGCACAAAAAAATACATAAATTCTTTTTTTAAATTTATGCAGCAGAGCATATACCAAGCTTTCTCTTTGATTAGTATTTTCAAAATTTAATACAACAGTGGAAATTCTTTCTACATTGGCTTAGAGTGGTTATTCAAGCAGTAAGTCGAATGATGCCTGTTGATGTGTGTTGATTACTGTCATAATTTTACTGACTGATGGTTTGGATTTTCATAAAGAAAACAAACTAAAAAGGAGGTATATGGGCATAGGATTCTTTTAAGTTGCATTAAAATTTTGTTTCAATAGAAACAGCAAAATACAGTCTTAACAGGAACCTATCCTTTCCACTTCTGGGATGCTGGTATTTAATCCTGATCTTGGAAGTTGAACTACAAGTTTGGATGACCTATCTCTGGAGGATATAGTGAATATTTTTTTAAAAGTCATTAAATGATAGTGAAAGTGTTATAATAATAAACCTCGCTGAAGATTCCCTGCTTTCAAGCAGATTAAACAGCAAGTGTGACGGGTTACTTGTAGCAGGATCCTGTTAACCTGGAGAGGGGTGGACTGTGGGGCTGGAGGTAGCCTTCCCTCCGTGCTGTTCCCTTACAGCTCTGGACTCTACAGTCTTTTGTTTCTGATGAATGGAGTGTGGTGGCTTAGATTTGCCATCATACTTTCTTCCTGTGTTCTGGACTGCAAAGTGATAGCTGGAGAGGAAAAATGGACAAAGCAAGACCCAGTTTTACAGTGTATTATTGCAGCGCTCAATAACATCTAACTAGAAATTGTTTCTGTGAATAAATAATTCCACAGAATATATGCAGAGGCAAGAGCAAACTGGTTTTGGCCTGGAGATTACAGTATATGCTGGTATTACTGTCAATACTTATGAGTCCCTCATTTTAAAGCCTGGTGGCTGTCGCAACAGTGACATTACAATAAGATTCATAATGCAAGCTATGCCGTTTTACTGATTCCGTAGATACATTTCTGTATGAGGAGGCTTGAAATAAGGGAAGACTTGTATTTCCTATTGGAAAATTTGTGGAAGGAAAGAAATAGAAAGACTCTGTCCTGCATGAATACAGTTACTAAATGGGGGGAATCCATTGCCAGACGTCTGTGTGAGTCCTGAGTTTGCATGTGTTGGACTGCCAGCTTGAGAGCAAAGATCTTTGTGAGGATGATTACGCCAAATGTTACCATTAAAACAAAGTTTATCAGCTTCCTGTGATGGTCTGAACCACTGAGTAATAGAAAGAAGGTAGTCAAAAGCACCATTAAGTAGAAAGTAACTTGAATAAATATGGCACACATCTGCTAGCTGCAGCTTAAGTCTACATTGTGCTGCACATGAAAAAAAGCTATCTGTGTTACCTGATGAAAATAAACTGCTGACCTGGACAGAAGCTCTGTAGAAACAACCCAGGCCCTGTATTTTAAAGGAAAACCAATCAATGTCACTGATGGCTGCAGAAATAGTGTAATCCAAGAGTTAACAATGTTTAGATCTGATGTGGGGAGGAGAGGGCCAGGTCTTTAGATGGACTGGGTGGGTGTCAACAAATACAAGTTCCATCATCAGATGTGATAGATTTCTCTTCCCCCTTTTCCAGGCACCCAAACACCACTAGTTTTAACTTGATGTCATGGCCTTTTTCCAGAAGTATGTCCAACTGTTTGTGAAGTAGCAAGTAGAAAAACTAGTAAATAAACTTTTTGGATATGGAGGCCATGCTGGTTTTGATTGCAAAGTGTTCAAGAAACTTGAGCAACATAGATTATTTTGTTGGGCATGCAGTTATTCTTCACCAGAAGACAATGCATTATGATTGAGAAGAAATAACCTAAGGTGCTCAGTCACAAAAATTATTGGCATTTTTGAAAGAAATTGAACTCTCAAGGGAAAATACAGGAAAAATTCAGGTGTGTATCTACAAAAGAAGGGTCCTAGATAAATCAACAGAAGTTAAACAGGTGTTGAAATTTCTGCAAGAGTGCTTACTTGCTTGTCTTCAAGCAAACTGATGAGAAAGCATATTTAAGATCAACCACAAATACCCCTTCACTGCTTATGCCTGCCTAGCCAGAGTACTGAAGATGTCGTCATTCCTCTACTCATATTCTTCATACCTGAGTTTTTTATTTACACATACATATACATACATATTTACACACAAACCCTGGCACCCACATTAAAGTCTTTGGGATCAGTATTTCCATGTAGTTTCATTCCAGCTCTTGTTTCTTTATATGTTTCTCCTGAGATATTTAAAAATACGTGCGTGACCAGCTGAAACTTCCATTGCAGTAAGGTATAACTATAACTGACCTATCATTTGTGCTAAAGGTGGTTATTAATTCCTTCGTGGAGTACAGTATGCCTTTTCTGTTTCTGTCCAAAACTGAGGTCCTATGTGGTGGATGAACAACCTGAATGGACTGGTTGAAAGAGTTTTTTCTGTTTCCCTGGTGCTGAGGCTTTGGAAATCAAACGGTGCTGGTGTTTTGCCACTAGAATGCCTCATTCCAGTATCTAATTTAAATAAGATGTATATTGTATATGCTAAAACAAAAAAGATCAAAGGTGCTTGTGGATTTTTATGAATGTGTAGTTGCAGGAGTGACAGCTGAGGACAGGCTGTGCAAGTTAGTAACTTCATTTCCTCAATATTGAAGAGTTTTGGTTTTTTAAATATATATCCCTTCTGAGGGTCTGGGAGAATAAATCAGTCTTAGGCAATCCAGCAATGGAACTATTTTATGATGAGTGTCACCATAGCTTTTTTCACTTGTAGAATTATTTTGCATTTAATTCATCTTTTCAATAGAACTGTTATGAGTTAAATAACACAGGCTTTGTAATAATTTTATAATGTGAATTTTACTACCACTGATTCATATCCACTAGTCTGCTTCTTGGAAGAAGGTCAGTAAGCTGTGGAGTAACTCGGTTATCTGATACTTGGGAGTTCCTTTCAAATGAATAATACAGATAAAGGACAGCTATGATGCTAGCAACTGTGCTGTCATCTTGATAATACGCTAATAAGTTTCTGGGAATTATGGATTCTGCAAATTCAACTCAATGTAAACAATTCTGATGTTACATCTAAGTAGAGATAACCCCTACTGAAATACCGTAGAGCTGACAAGTGGAAAAAGAAATTTAGGAAATTAAGTGATTTCAGGACTGAGTATACCTAGGAAGGATGTATATTTAGTTAAAGCATTGTAGATTTGAGTGGCATTTTTCCAACGACTGCTGCACAGTGTTCAGTAAAGTATACTATTAAATGTTTAGTTGCTTAATTTTTAGATTTATATGAAAACTTTACAGATACTGGGAATAGCCTGAACACAAGTGGGTTAAACTTTGTAGAGGTGCTTATATATGAATGTTTTACAATGAATTAAGGTATTAACTGACATTTATAGCAATTCCTGTTGTTACTAGAAACATTAGCAAACCGATTTCAAAACAGATGTTTGACATGAAGTGTTGCTAAGACTTAGTTATAGTTGCTAGGCTTCTCTGGTAGGTGAACGGCACTGGGGAAAAGTTGGTATGCTGGCCCTGCTACGCTGAGCTGCTGTGTTCCCCTAGGTGAAGGGGGTTGCCATCAAGCCTGCTTGAACCTCTTCATTCCTGATATTTGGTTTTCGCTATTGTTAAACATGAGAGCTACAGAAACTGTTCAAACACAGCGTTTTTATGGTTTACATTATCAACTATCTCTTTTTAGAGACACAGATACGCCTTTTAAAAATAAAATGTAATTTGGGCTAGTGTGCAGAAATTTTTGAAGACAGTAGTTAAGCACACATTTTTATGAAAAATGTTGTGGCATAATTACAACTTCCGAACTGCATGCTTTGCAATAGAACTTCATAAAGCTATCAAGGATTGGTAAGTAATATAGAATGTAGTTACAGGAAAAAAATATATTTAGTATATGTAAAATTTCATATCACACTTAATTGTTTTGCATTATAAAAATCTTCTGTTACAAGCTTTTGGGTTTGTGCTTCACAGAGCTGTTATCTCCCTCTCTGCAGCTCTCACGGTGGCCTACCGTGTCAAAATAACTTGTGCTTCCTATGGTGCCTTTTCAAATTTAGTCTACCACGTTAGACAGTTTGATTTTGCTTCTGACCACTTCCTTTGGCAGTGACCCTCTAGGATAAATTCTAACCTGAAATACCAGCTTCCTTGTGGCTTTCTTTTGAAGGTTTATTTGGTGATGAGTTGGAACATCTGGCAAAAGGGGACAAATGAAAAGCAAAATGTCTTAAATAACGTAAAATGTATAATCCATAAAAGTGCCCTTTCACAATTGCAAGAGTCATCATGTTGTTACTGAGGGAAGGTACTCTTTCTCGCACATCAGATTAGTAGAAGAGTGGAAGTCAACTTCAGAGACTTTTTGAGGTGCCTGAGTTATTCTGAGAGAATACGATCTGCTTTGACTGCTGTGGATAAAAGTTACAATGCGATGTTTCTGTCATCAGTTTGAGCCACGGCAGTTTTCGTTAGAGAACTCTCAGTTGGTGTGGTGCAGTTGTTCAGGCCATGTCGTCTTATTTAGTAGTTGGGTGTTAAACCTTTGAGCTGCAGATGACTATTCCAAACAAACTTTATTACTGTAAAAGCTCAAAGATAACTTTTCTGCTGACAAAAATGACTTAAGGTTAAAAATGACAGCATATT